CGACGAACATTTTCTCGACCTACTCGAAATGTACATCGTTCCGACACTTCTATCGGGCCGTTTCTTCTTCAGAAATGTCTACAGAATCCGATCCTGCGTAGAGTTTTCGTGCTGAACAAAAAACTTTTCGTAAAAATACAAAAATATTGCGCAGAAACTGCTCACGTCGACACTTTTTTAAACTTTGACATCAATTTGTTGCTATTTAGGACCAGAAACAATTAATAAATTGCATGCCACTATATTCGGGAAACTTTCCTCTATCTTTTAACACCAATTAGAACTTTCTAGCGTTTGTACTTTTCATGCAATACCTCATTTTTGTCGAAAATTTTGGGTTCTTACAAAAGTTCGTTTATTTAAAAAACTGAGGGTGATGGAGCAATTCGGTTTTCGGATTCTTGTTCAGGGAGTGAAGCTCTACAAGAATTTCATAGTGGCTATAGAAACCCAAAAATCGTGTCGGACAGTGTAATTTTTACTTGTCGTCTACTTGTTACGGAACTGCGAATCTTCGTGCATTTATGACAATGATACACGCGTCAAATATATAGCAGACGAAACTTTCGACGATTCTAAAAATACTCTTGTGTTCTCCGTAACTTATCGAAGTTAACCCTTTGCAGTCGGAGTCATTTTAACTCGAAATCTAAAATAGTTTTTCTGACCTATAGTGTTTCCATTTTATACGAAATAGAATTTCGTAACTTGTGCAACAATTACGCTATTGAGAGATTCATAAATATAAAGAAAATTTGATAACGATAACATTATTTTCAAACGTGACATAACAATTTTTAGTGGCGTCTTATAGTCGCCATTCGACTGCAAAGGGTTAATATAGGAGAAGACATTAATCTCTGTACAGTACAGTGAATTCTCTCCAGTTGTTCTTCAGTTTGTAAAGAAAAATGGACAATTCGGGAAGAGGAGATACGATTATTCGAGCCTTGCAGCTCGTTTTTATAGTCGCCGAATGTCGGCAACCATAAAAATGAGCCACGAGGCTCCTCTTTTCAAATTGTCCATTTCTGTTTACAAGCTGAGGGACAATTGGAGAGAATTTAATGTAATTGTAAATAATACAGTCCATTTCCCTTTTACACAAAGATACGTAGTCTACTTATTACGACAATAAGAGCTGGGTAATATTTATAGAGAAAATATTTAAAATACTATTTTAGATAATAGATTCTTTAGAATTCAAATAAAATAGTGTTTCAAGTAGGATATAAAATTTTAGTAGATAAAATATTTTAATTTGAAAATATACAACGTAAAATAGAATAGCTTATTTTGGTAATTTAAAAAGTTCTGATAATCTAAACTAAAATATTTTATTTGGATAATCTAAAACATAAAATAAGACAGTTTTTATTTTAATAACATGAAACATAAAATAGGATACATCGTATAGTTATTAATCTTAAAATAAATTCTGAAAATGGTTAACGTAAATTAAGACGAGATAACATAAGAAATCGTGTTTGCAAATGATATGTATTGTTTTTTTAAATACAGCTATTGGCATGTTATAAAGTCCATATTTTATGTACGTTTATAATACAGAGGAAAAGTATTTCGTTATTTTTAGTTGTTGCTAATGAATTAAATAAATGAAATATTCCGAGCTATGGCACAAATATTTTCAGTGCTTTTTAAATTTATCGGTCGATAAGTGAATACAGTCGATTTCTTCATAAGTGAACAACAGATAGCAGTACTTATATTGACCACGAAATGACTGAATAAAATTTAAAAAATTAGAGAAGAAAATAAAAATTAAAGAAAATATATATAGATATTAATATTATAAAATAATTAGATATTAATATCAATTTATTTTCAGCTAATTATAATAAAATCTGTGCTTTGCATTATTAGTGGCAATATTATGTTTTTACGGCTAATTCGCAAAATTCTTATTTGTCTCAATTTTAAAGTTAATGGATTTACATTGTAACATTAATGGACTTCGGAGATACATCCGTCCATACATGTAGGTGCTGTTATTGTTACACGTCATAAAAAATTTCACTTTATTAATGTGATAAAAATGCTGTTTCGGAGACCCATCTACAATGATATTAATCTTTGATCTTCAGAACATTTTTACCGTAGCTCGATAATTATTCAAAATCGTTTCATGCTCCTTGTAGAAAGTGAAAGAAAAATGCTGATTAGGAGTTAGATCTGGAGTTTTAATGTAATATTACTAACAAGTGGGGA